AAACTACCATCTATAATTCATCTTGGATGTGTTGCCGTTGTAATACTGACAAAGAACATTTTAATCACATATGGACTTGTCCTAAAGCAAAAAAAGAGATGAAACAAATTAACATTGCCGCTCTTAATGTCCTAAAAAATCAACTTTTCATCCATACCTCACAAACAGTCTACCCTTCCAACATAAATTCATTGTTAATCCCTTCACATTCTTTTTGGGCTCTAAAAGAAGATCCTTACAACATTACTTTCATCGATTTCATTAAAGTCATCGTTCCTACTGCTCTCCCAAAGTTACTCAACTTCTTTACTAACTCTTCATCTCGCACTTCTAAAATCCTTTCCCCATTTTATGACTACATTTTTGATCAATCCTACGAAGTTATCTGAAAATCTAGATGCACAGCTACTATAGAAAAAGAATGATCACTTAACATCTTGAAATATAGCAAAAAACGTATTATAGTCCTTCTAACAATTTTTCTATTAACAGTTATTCAAACTCATTTTTATCCTTACCTGAATACAAATACGAACATACCTCCCTTATGACCAAATCTTTTGTTAATGAACGGAAATGGTCCTTCTTCCTCATGCAGTAATTAACTATTTGTCAAACGTTTTTCTCTTCTTTAATTGGGTGGTGATGGTAATTCTACTAGTGATTATTACCAGAGCCTGATGGGACAACCGGTTGGTTTGATTAGAGTTAGTCTACTAATGATGATTATTAGGCAGCATTTTTTATTTTTCTACATTTGTACACTTTTTGGGATTTTCATGTTTATTTTTAAACTGATTATGAATTTTTATAATAAATAAATGCATTATTGCGTCTTTAAAAAAAAAAAAAAAAAAAAAGATGATCCAATATCAATGAATGTTAGCTCATTGGATTCGTCTAGTCGCGAGGAATCGAATGGTAGTCGTTTTATACGAATCGGTGCGATATTGACCGAGATCGTACATCCTTTGTTTTTTTTGTTTTTTCTATATATAAAAAATCATGTGATATGACATAATTTCGACTATTTCGACTTTTCATTTCGACTTTTTGGGTTTTCATTTCGATTTCATGTATAATTGCTATTATATTTCTGCAGATTACTACTAAAGAAAGCTGTAATTTCTTAAGCCGCAGCCCAATGATCAAAACGACCGAAACCTTGAAAACGATAATAACATTATTAACTAAGTTAATATAGTTGATTAAGTTTAATTAGTTTCTTATGTTTATTTAGTTAAATTAGTTAATATAGTTAACTAAGTTAATGAAGTTTATAATGTTTCTTAGTTTTAATAGTTTTATTTTATCTTAAATTAGTAATAGAAGTAGATCAAATATTTTATATAATAGGGTAGGAAATTGTTATAGTTAAGGACAGACAGAAATAGTGAAAAAGCAGATTTGATTTAAAAAAAGTTAGATTTGAATTCAGTTTAGCTTTAATCAAAGTTAATTAAAAATTTATTGTGAAATTCATAAATTGATAAGTTCACCAACAAGAGCTTATTTAGTTTATTGAATTGTATTGATCCACTTATATTTTATTAATAAACCAAACTTTATTTCTATAACATTGATCTGTTAAACTCGTGACCTAAAACCCAATCTATCATTATTGCTCTTCCATTATATTTGAAGTATTCATTTATATTTCCAATTTATATTTATATATCCTCAACATTTCCTGTACTTATAAATTAATATATTGTTAATTCAATAATTTTATTAACGCAAACAAGTTCTTAAAGTTATTAAGTTAAATCATTATCCTTCAAATATCTAAAATCTTGCTATATGTGTTAAAGTCTATTTTTCAGTCAATAGACTTCGTAATTGACTCGTATAACAACACAGAATTCATCTTTAAACATTGTAGAAAATCATAATCTCTAAAACAATATTCTAGGTAACATTTTCTTTGAAATTAAATAGTTCTGATAATGTTTTTTTCAAAAAAAAATGATTTTAGCAAATTTATTTTGAAGAAAAATGATTTCAGTAACATTACTTTTAAAAAAACACTTATAGAGTATTACTTTTAAAAATGCTTCCAGAGTATTACTTTTATAAAAATACTTTCAAAGCATTACTTTTAAAACTATGTTTCTAGAAATATTATTTTTTAAAATTAATACTCTAATAGCGTTTTTTATTTAAATAATACATTTCAGAAGCTTTATTATTTAAAATTAATGTTTTAGAAGCATTTTTATTTAAATAAACCATTTTAGAAACATTTTTTTTTTAAAAAATTAACATTTCTGAAGCATTATTTTTAAAATACTAATACTTCAGAAGCATTTTTTTGAAGAAATAGCCTCTGTGGCTTTTCTATTGAAGGAAATCATTCAGGAGGCATATTTTTAAAAGAATTATTTCTAAAGGCATTTCTTTGAAGGGAATCATTTTTGAAGGTATTTCTATTAAAGGAATCACTTTTGTGTCTTTTTCATTGACAGGAATCACTTCTGTAGCTTTCCTTTGATAGAAATAATTTCCAGAGGTATTTCTATTAAAAGAATCACATTTGTAGCTTTTTCTTAAATAGAATCACTTCTATGGCTTTTCTTTGAAGAGAATTATTGCTAAAGGCATTTCCTTACAGAAAATTATTGCTAGAGATGTTTTTTTAAAAATTGCTTGTGTAACTTTTTTTAGAAGTGAAAAATCCTCTGTGGCTTTTTCTTTAAAGATAAAAAAGACCCTTATCAATTTTTTTAAGTGAATTTATAATATTAAGATTTATAAGGTTATTATATAAGCCTTATTAACATTTATTTTAAATTTTATTTTTTTAGAAAATAAAAAGATTTAAAATATAAAATCATGTCACAATGTAACCAAATAAATTTATCTTCTGATAATGAACAAGAAGTATTTTTAATTGATAAAAAAGAACTTCAGAAATATATCAATATTTTACATTAGATTCTTTAATTAGTCATTGAAAATGTAATTATTGCAAGTAAGTATTTTTTATACTTAAATACCACAATATAATTTTAATTAATATTTACTTTAAAATAGCAAAAACTTTGATAATAAATCTACTTCAATATTATAGAGATATGTGAAAAAATATTATCAAAATATTTATTAAAGTAATGAACTATTACAAATAAAAAAAAAGTTTATATCACAAGGATTTAGAAAAAATTAATTAATAATAGTAATTGATATTAATCATTTACAGTTAACTTGCAGGTCTCCCTCATTTCACCAACAGTAAACAACTAGCTGATATTGGACACATGGTCAATGCTATCTCGTGAATTATTCCTAAAGCACGTTCAAATTATCACAATCTCCAGCACGCCTTCTTTTATTTCAAATCAGCTAATGATTTTGAAGCTGTGATTAGTAATGATAATCTTACGATCGACAATAAGCACGTGACCTAGATGACATTGAATGCTAAACTATGTGCTATCTGCTCTTAACCCAACCATAAAGTAAACGACTGTCCCAGAAAACGTAAATCATCTTCTGACCGCAATACGCAACAACTCTACCAGCGATTTCAACCTGCACAATATAATGATTACAAAGCTCCCATGAAAAGCATCAAAGGTGCAGTGAGTCCAAATGTCACATTTGCTTACATGACAAAATCATCAGAATCTGAAAAGAACAAAACAGATAAACGTCAAAAATATCATGATAGACCCCTCCTGGACACCAAAAGAATCTTAACAATCAATGTGCATCAGAACCACCAATATCATCGTGGTATAATGATATTCCTGATGACTTATATAATACCTCTTACCAACATCTGAATACTTATACCTCCCCTAATGATGTCAGTAATAGTACTAAGAAAGGAGGCTCAATGCACGCTAATAATGACGAGGACTTTAAATCCTTTGTCAGACAACAATTTTCAGCTCTAAATGAAAATATGTGTGAATTGATGAAGAATTTAAACTTCACTATCATGAGAGTCAAAGCAGTTGAAGATTCTCTGCAATTCAAAGTCATCACTCCTCTTGAAGCCGACCTCAAAAACAATGATTCTGAAATTATGGAATTTGACGAAGTTGAACCCTCCGTTGATACATCAGCATCTATCATCATCCAACAATGAAAAATGATTGAAGACCTTAGAAATCTCAATGAAATGCATCAGCACAGATTGAAATTTTTTACAACTACGGTTAATACCTTAGTCAAATCATGTGCTACATTTCAGTCCATTTTCATACAGAATGATATGCTTTCCAAGGATTTAGCTAATACATTATTTCTACTCAGAGATGCTTTCGACAGTGATGTCAGAAACTATCTCAAGGACTCAAGGAATTACCATCCTTTTAAACCTGTTCATAATGAATACTGTCCTTACAGATAATTTTACACAAGATGTACACCCTATCACAATAATAACTTCCCTTCTTCCCCTCCACTTATTTCTTTTGCATCACAAAACGTTCGCTTTTTTACTAACGCTGCTAAACAAAACTCACTAATTGAATTTTATTCCTCTTTGAAATTAGATATTATTGATCTTCAAAAAACTAATTTCTCTCATTCTTCAATCCGTTCTTTTAATAGCACATTTTCATCAACTTATACAGGCTTCTTTGGACTGCCTTCAGATTCTCATAGTCAAAAAACTGGATTCAGCGTTGGATTTTTGGTTTGCTTTCATTTGGCAAATCATATTTTTCATCACAAATCTAAATACAACCGTATCATAATAATCGATTTGCAATTTAACAATAAACAAAAACTAAGAGTTATTAACTGCTACCTTTCACCAGGTAACTTCTCTCGTAGAAAACCCAACTGATCTCATTCGATACCTTAGAGAGGCAATTTCTAATAATTATTACTTTCTGCTTCTTGAGGATTTTAATATAGACATGGATAATCCTAAGCTACACTCGCAAGATAATAATTTTTTTTCTCGACTCGACTATTTGCATTTATTTGACATGTTCTCGGTTAAATATGACCAATCTCGAATTCATTATCCTACTCATCAAAGTACTATGTCAAGGTCACGAATTGACTACATTTGGTCCTCAGCTGAAGTTGTTTCTCATTTTACGAGTTGCAATGTCTTAGATGTCGATCCTTCTCTGTCTGACCATTCGCTGATCACCTTTAGTGTTGAAAATTTCTTGGATATTAGAAACAATAAAAGGAATATTCCTTCAAAAAAGGTTTATGATTATGATAAGATGACTGATGATAAATGGGAAACTTTCAGTAATAAAGTAGATGCTTTGGCCAATAGATGCTACTTATGAAGTCTTACTAACAAATTCTCCATCAATCAGAATAAACTGAATCGATACTGCTGAGACTTATTACAAGAATGCATTATAAATGCAGCTGATGCTACAATCCCTTCACATCAATATAAGAGACAACATTCGATGAAAAGACCTTCACTCTTATCGAAATTATATAAGAAGATGAAATTTTTGTATAAATTTAAAAAATTGGTTAGGGATATTTTGGCTAATTCAGTAGTCTCCCATAAATGGTCACCATCAATTGAAGAATTCTATACACTTTTAAATGATTTCAGCGTTCCTTATATCCGTTTACCTCCTATTCCAACTGTTCTTATTACACAATCAATACAATCGTATATTGATCTCCTGCTTTGCCACCTTCTGGTGGAATCAAAGTTACACAAACAGAAATTCAAACTCAAATCAATTCAAGAAGCAATTGAAAGGAAATTGGAGAATTATCAACTTTCTCCTGCTAACATGACCAACTCTTCTTTGAATCGACACAAAAGAACGATTGTTATTGATCGCTGTTTTGACAATACTTCTTTATCACATGATCTATTAACAAATGAACACACTGTTAAAAATGAAGTTGCCCGACATTTTCAAATGGCGGTGGGCACTTTTCATGAAAATGTACCCTTGGTTGAGGATTGGCGTTCCTATTATCAACCATTAGAGAACGTTGACGCGACAATTTATAATAACCTAATGGATCCACTTTCGGCTGATAAATGGTATGACCTGATTGCTCACCTTCTAAACGGCAAAGCTTCAGGTCCATCAAAAGTTTCTAATGAGTTGCTTAAACACCTTGGCCCAACTACAAAAAAATTACTTTGGTATATTATATGTGGATATTTATCCCTTTCATCAGTACCTCATCATTGGAATCATGCTTTCATTTACCCAATTCCTAAACCCAAACCATGGGAGTATGACTTGAACAATACCCATCCTATAACATTACTTGAGTGTTCTCATAAAGTACTTGTTAAACTGATTAATCGACGACTCTCAAAGATTTTAGTACAACATAATATTTTAAAAGGATTGAACTTCACTGATCTTCCATTCAAATCCACATTCGAACCATTACATATCATCGACAACATCAAATATGATGCTACTCATAATAAGAAGGACTTTTGCATCTTATTACAAGATATGTCTAAAGCATATGATTGTGTCAACATTTTTATGCTTATAAGAGCTTTAGAAAGATTACATATCCCATTTAACTTTCTTAGATTTATTTTAAAAATCTTTGGTAACCATCATAATCAAGTATTCACATCGTTTGGCAATACTGACTCATACCAGGTCATGTCAGGTATCGACCAAGGAGAAATTATATCACCACTTCTGTAGTATATATATTATGATCCTCTTTTGTGTAGAATTCAAAACTCTTCACACAGTTACTCGCTATCACACACTTGGAAACCAAATATTTTGCTCAACGATACCGAATTAACCATTGTAAAAGTGTCTATACTTGCCTATATGGATGACACGCTGTAGATTGCTAGATCTCGTGAGGATCTTGCCAATATCATTGAAATAGCAGAAGATTTTTACAAATTAAACCATATCAAAGTCAACTGTAAAAAGTCAGTTCTCTTGACCAATAAAGCTAAAGATAGACAATCTTTTACGTGTACTACGAATGGCTGTCTTACCAATATTGATCCACTGCCACTTAATGAATCAACTAGATACCTAGGAGCTTAGATCTCATTAGGACGTAACTAAACTTTTACCATTAGAATGCTCAAAAATAATATCAAAAACGCTACAACTGTCATGTTCAAAAAGAAAATGACTGACAAACAAATGGTGTATATTTTCAACACTGTTCTCACCCCAAGGTTTAAATATCGTGCCCAATTGACAGCTTTGATAATTACGCAATGTGATTCGATCGACTTTCTATACTGTGCTTTTATGAAAAAGAAGTTGCATTTTTCACGAGATTCACCGTCTTCTGTGTTTCACTCAAGTCGGTTTTATGGTCTCATTAGACTGTATCATAGATTACTTACAGCACAGAGTGAGGCATTACTCTTTTCGCTCAATGATAGTAATCTCTTAGGAATCACTACACGTTTACGTATCAAACAGTTACAATAAAAATAATGGTTTCATATATCACCATTCTTCAATTGGCTATATTCTCGCTACTTAAATTCAAACGATTGGATAGCAAACTTATTATATAATTGGAAAAATAATCGAATTTCTGCCCAACTGCCTGACGCTGACTTAGGTCTTATTAAAGGTAGAAATACTCCTATATCTTCGTTGATTCCGTATGATTTTAGATCCCTAGTTATGTATTTTAGAAAATACTCGCTTTTATTCGTTGAATAGCTAGTATTCTCAAAAGGTGATATTATGTTGACATTTGGTGATTTTAATATGCAACAGGGTTTGCCTTTGACTGGACGTATACCTCGTTGGTTTAAAGTGCTTCAGAATATACTCTTACTTAATGACGAGTTTAGAGCTACCTGTGCTTCTTACCCTCAATTGAATAACTGTAATTACGATTTTTCACCACCAAACAAGACTGCTGGCTGTACAACCTTTGTCTTAGGATGGAACTATGGTCATAATACACCTTTTATTGGCAAACTACTCAAAACTAAAGAACATTATGCACATATTCTTCATATGTTACCTACAACTGGACCAGAGAGTAGAGCCATACTATTGGACTACACTCATTGCTATATGTATGACAACCAGGCCTATGTTTCAAAACAAACTACCTACAAAAATCCAAAATTTTTTTTCATTGTGCTTATCAACCTTTGTTTTAAGATTCCGATGAATCATAATACTCACGATTCAACATATGATTGCTCTTGGTCCATTGATCTCCTGAATGAGTTAGCTTATTCATTTATTAAAATTCGTAGCATACCGCAACCTCTGACATTGGCATTGAATTTTATTTCTCCTCTTCCTCCTACTTTTATAGAAAAATTCATTTCTCTATCACATTCTCATTTGCTATTAACAATTTGATCCCAATTTACCTCTTATACCTCTTTAGAATTCTATACAGACGGTTCCTTAAAAGACCTTAGCTTCTCTTCAATTAAAATGAGTTTGGCTTGGCTGCAAATGGCATTTTCTGCTCCAATGATTTTTTACTTGACAGCTTTTACAGCGTCCTCTCCTTTCTCCTCAGCTGCAGAATTAGCTGTCATTTTCACAGCCATTTTGGTCACTCCGGAAAAGTGTCATATAAAGATATTTACTGATTCAAGCTCTGTAATCTCTCAATATTCCAAATATAAACTACTGTCAGTGATTTCACCGTCCCAATGACTATTTCTTAAAATTGTCAATGTTCATATATGGCAATGTATCTTTCAAATCATTGATACCTTGGCTTTAACGGTATCTATGGTTAAGGACAAAGCTCACTCAGGTGACCTCTATAATGAAAGAGTGGACAATATGGCAAAAACCTCTTTGGACTCCTCAGTACTATATCTTAATATTAATGACCAGTCGCACACAACGCTCTACTACAACAAATTGGCTATTACCTCTCCAATCAGACAATTTATTAAAAACATCAACAGAGCTGAGGTGTTCACTGATTTCTTAAATTTGAAAATTAACTCCAAATATACTCACATAGACATTAATTAGAGCTCTACCGCCTTTTGCATATCAGATAATATCGCCTCCGCTGTCACTACTTACGAAGCTTCAGCTTCAAAAGAAAAAAGATCTAACAGGTGTTAGAAATGCTTCCTACACTTGAAGTTCTCAAACTACGTCACCCACTTTTATATGATAGTGCTGAACAATACTTCAAATGTGATATGGAACTGGAGGATTTTGCTCATATTTGGACTTGCCCTTTGGTACTTCACAAAACATAACGACTTATTCAAAACTCCCAATCACTACTTCGCTCAATCACACATAATGCAATGCTGCATCCTGATTTCCTTTATTCGAACATTTGGTCTCTTTCAATCTCATTACAATTCTCATTTATCGATTTGATCAAAGGTATTATACTATTAATTTCATACAACACGGTCTATCAATTGCTCACCTCCAAAGAAGTTACTGAAGCTGCATTGTCATCCTTTATGCATTTTATTTTTGAACAATCTAATGACATCTGGAAAGATTGTTACTCACAATTTAAAGACTTTGAAAAATCTCGCAAAATCACTGACAGTTTAAAGAGATCCCTCACTGAGAGTTCTGGATACCACTTCTGTACGACTAATCTGACGTTTGAACCTCACAAGATTATAGATAAAATGGTCCGTTTAGGATCTCATTGGACAAATTTTTGGTGTCGTAGGGGTCAAGCTCTTTTCTGTTTCTAATTGCTGGAATGTGACGATATAATTTTGGTTGTGTTAGATTCTAGAAAAGTGCAGGGTCAGTCTTGATTTAGATAGTTTTATGATTATTTAGATAGAGATTTTCGTTTAATTCTGAATATATGTAATTTTAATTTTTATTATTATTTTTCAATAAAGTTTTAGCAAAACTACCGCACTTAAAAAAAAAAATAAAATAAAATTTATATCACATTTATCATAATAAATTATTAAAAAAGAAAAATTACAAAATTACTCCTTTATAAATTTTTATTAGTATACTTACTTTTTGTTTAATTAAAAATTCACATTCTGAGTAAAAGCTAATAAAGATAATTTCAAGTTAGTTAAACAATTATTTTATTGTAATTAAAGATAGGTATCATAATTAAGAAGTTGCAACTCGGTAAGTTGCAACTTGAGTTACAACTTGGTTGCAACTCCTTGTAAATTTATTTTAATATAAAAATTCATAAAATGTTGCAACTTAAAGTGTTACAACTTAAGTTGCAACTAGTTAAAAATTTTAAAAATAATTATGGAAACCATCTTTAATTATAATATTCTATTTAATACCTGAAATTGTTTTCACTAGTTCCTTGTCTATATCTTTATTATTACAATGTTCAATTCTTTCTACTTGTTCAAGTGAAATATCATCAACAAAAGGTGAATCAAACTCATTTTTTTATTTATTTTATAATTATTATAAAAGATAACACTACTACTACTAATATTGCTAACACCACTACTACTAATATTGATATTACTACTACCACTAATATTGCTGATATTACCATCACCACTGATGATATTGTTAATATCAAGGTTCAATTGTAATTAATTTTATATATATATATGATTTATA